CACCCCCCTCCTCCTCTCCCACCCCCACCCCCTCTCCCTCACCTGGTTTTATACACTACAATACCGTGCTTCATACCTCGTCGTCATAACGTATAATGTATGTATGTATGAATGTATGTATGTATGTATGTATGTATGTATGTATGTATGTAATGTTTATAATGTATGTATGTATGTATGTATGTACACCTGTGGTGTAATGGTCACCATGCTCGCCTCGTAAGCGAGCGGACCCGGGTTTGATCCCCGGGCAGGTTGAAACTATGGACAAGTTTTTTTACGCCATTTGCCTCTGTCAGGCAGTAATTGGGAACCTGGATGTTAATCGAATTGCAGATCGTGTTCCGGGGTAATGGTTAGCCAGTGCAGGTGGCGAGTTGTCAGTCTTCTCGGAACTATTCCTTGACACTGGGTCATGTCTCGTTAACTCAGGGTGTGGTTGTTGTGTTGGCGACAGCATCACATGAACAAATTCACTCCTAGGTGGCCTAAGCTGGGCAGCCAGCCTCGTTACGATGGACAACCATTATGTATGTATGTGTGTAGAAAGAATACTTGAACTACTGACAATAAAACGTTTGAACCTCTCTCTCTCTCTCTCTCTCTCTCTCCTAGCTCCAGTCCTAACAGCTATGGGGTCGAAGGGTTGGCAGGAGGGTGTGGCTGGTCTAACTGCTCGTTCAACACTCCCAGATGGAATTTCCCAGCGTGTTCCACTTCACCTTGAGACCTGACAAGAGAGAGAGAGAGAGAGAGAGGAGAGAGAGAGAGAGACAGAGAGAGAGTCATGTTTATCCATCACTCCTAAACACACCGTAAGTATTAGTAGTCAACTTGTACCTTCATCTTCTCCTACCACACACACACAGGCGTCGACCTCGAGGCTGGCGTCGGTGTCAGGGAGATTTAAATGCACTCACAGAAAATTATCCATCCCCTGTACGTCTCTTTCTGCGTCTCTCATATGGAAAACGTGGGAGGAGAGGGAGATGTGGGGATGTGGGGAGATGTGGGGATGGTGGGAGATGGGGATGGTGTGGGGAGATGGGGATAGTGTGGGAGATGTGGAGGATGGTGGGAGATGTGATAGTGTGGGAATGGGGATGTGGGGAAGTGTGGATGGTGGGGAGGGAAGTATGGGGATGGTGTGGGAAGTGTGGGGTTGGTGGGAAGTGGGGAAGATGTGGGAAGGAGGATGAGGATGGGGGTGAGGGGAGGTGGGGATGGTGGGGTGGGGGGATGGTGGGGATGGGGATGGTATAAGTGGGATGGTGGGAAGTGGAGGATGGTGGGGGAGAGATGGAAGTGGAGATGGGAAGTGGAGGATGGAAGTGTGAGAGAGGGAAGGGGATGGTGGGATGGGGGATGATGGGAGGGGGGATGGTGGGAAGTGGGTGGGATGAGGGATGGGAATGGGAAGTGGGGATGGTATGGGAAGGGGATGGTGGGAAGTGGGGATGGTGTGTGGGATGGTGGGAAGTGGGGATGAGAAGGGTGAGGGAGAACTGGGGATGGTGGGAAGTGGGGGATGTGGGGAAGGTGGGGATGGTGGGAAGTGTGAGGATGGTGGGAAGTGGGATGGTGGGAAGTGAGGATGGGGTGTGGGGAGGTGGGGGAGGGAAGTGGGTATGGTGGGGAGAGTGGGATGGTGTGGGGTGAGGATGGAATGGGAAGTGTGGGAGGGGATGTGGGTGGGGAGGTGTGGGGATGTGGGGAAGTGTGGGGATGGTGGGAAGTGGGTATGGTGAGGATGGTGGGAAGTGTGAGGATGTGGGAAGTGGGGAGGGAAGTGTGGGGATGGTGGGAAGTGTGGGATGGGGGGATGGTGGGATGGTGGGAAGTGGGGATGGTATGGGGATGGTGGGGAGATGAGGATGGCATGGGAGGGGATGATGGGAAGGTGAGGGAGGTGGGGATGGTGGAAAGTCTGGGGATGGGGACGTGGGGATGGTGAAAGAGGGGATGGTGTGGGAAGTGGGAGAGGGGATGGTGGAAAGTGGGGATGGTGTGGGGAAGTGTGGGGATGGTGGGAAGGGGTGGGATGGTGGGAGGTGGGGGATGGTGGGAGGTGGGGATGGGGTGGAGGGGATGGTGGGAAGGTGTGGGGATGGTGGGAAGTGGGGATGGTGGAAAGGTGGGGATGGTGTGGGAAGTGTGGAGGATTGTGGGAGATGGGGATTGTGGAAGATGTGGGGATGGTGTGGGAAGTGGGATGGTGGGAGGTGGGGATGTGGGATGGTGGGACGTGGGGATGGTGTGGGAGGGGATGGTGAAAAGTGTGGGGATGGTGGGGTGAGGGGATGTGGGGATGGTGTGGGAAGTGTGGATGGAATGAGGGGATGGGGCGGGAGGTGTGGGGATGGTGGAAGGAGGATGGTGGAAGATGTGGGATGGTGTGGGACAGGGAGGTGGGGATGGTGTGGAATGGTGGGGCATGGTGTGGATGGGGATGGTGTTGGGATGGTGGGATGGGAGTGGAGGGTATGGTGGGAGATGAGATGGTGGGAGGAAGGATGGTGGGAAGTGTGGGATGGTGGGAGGTGTGGGGTATGGTGGGAGGGATGGTGGGAGGGTATGGTGTGGTGGTGTGGGATGGTGGATGGTGTGGAGGTGTGGGTATGGGAGATGAGGATGGTGTGGCAGGTGGATATGGGGAAGGGTATTGTGTGAAAGAGGACGTCGTAAGGTTGGTTTGGATGTAGGGAGGGCACAAAGAGAAGGCGGGGATGGCGTGGGAGGCGTGGGGATGGCGGGAGGCGTGGGGATGGCGTGGAGGCATGGGGAGTGGTGAGGCTGGGGATGGCGTGGGAGGCGTGAGGATGGCGGGAGGCGTGGGGATGGCGGGAGGCGGGATGTGTGGGGATGGCGTGGGAGGCGTGGGGATGGCGTGTAGTGGGATTACGTGGTAGGCGGGGATGGCGGGATGGCGGGAGGCGGGATGGTGGTGAGGCATGGGGATGGCGGGAGGCGTGGGGATGGCGTGGGAGGCGTGAGGATGGCGGGAGGCGTGGGGATGGTGGTGAGGCATAGATGGCGGGAGGCGGGGATGGCGTGGAGGCGTGGGGATGGCGGGAGGCGTGGGGATGGCGTAGGAGGCGTGGAGGGGATGGCGTGGGAGGTGGGGATGGCGTGGGAGGTGGGATTACGTGGTAGGCGTGGGGATTATGGTAGGGTGGGATGGTGGGATGGTGGGAGGGTGGGGATGGCGGGGAGGCGTGGGATGCGTGGGATGGTGGGAGGTGTGGGATGGGGGATGTGGGCATGGTGGAGGTGTGGAGGATGGTGGGGAGATGGGGATGGGGGTGGAGTGGGGATGGTGGGAGGTGTGGGTATGGTTTGTGGTGGGATAGTGGGAGGTGTGGGGATGGTGGGAGGTATGGGGGAGATGGAGGATGGTGGGAGGTGGGGGATGGTGGAAGTGTGGGGAAGGTGTGGGAGGTGGGTATGGTGGGAGGTGTGGGGGATGGTGTGGGAGGTGTGGGTATGGTGGGTGTGGGTGGTGGGGATGGTGGTGGAGGTGGGGATGGGGAGGTGTGGGTATGGTGTGGGGAGATGTGAGGATGGTGGAGGTGTTGGGATGGTGGGGAAGTGGGGGATGGTGTGGAGGTGTGGGTATGGTGGAGGTGTGGGTATGGTGTGGGTGGTGTGGGGTATGGTGTGGGTGGTGTGGGGATGGTGGGGAGGTGTGGGTATGGTGGGAGATGTGAGGATGGTGTGGCAGGTGGGGATTACGTGGAGGCGTGGATGGCGGGGATGGCGGGGAGGTGGGGATGGCGGGAGGCGGATGCGTGATGGTGGGAGGTGGGGATGGGGGGCAAGGGGGATGGTGTGGGAGGTGGGTATGGTTTGGGTGGTGTGGGATAGTGTGGGAGGTGTGGGGATGGTGTGGGAGGTGTGGGTATGGTGTGGGAGATGGAGGATGGTGGGAGGTGGGGGATGGAAGTGGTGGGGAAGGTGTGGGAGGTGTGGGTATGGTGGGAGGTGTGGGATGTGGGAGGTGTGGGTATGGTGTGGGCATGGTGGGATGGTGTGGGGATGGTGGGAGGTGGGGTATGGTGGAGATGTGGGTATGGTGGGAGATGTGGAGGGATGGTGGGAGGTGTTGGGATGGTGGGAAGTGTGGGGGATGGTGGGAGGTGTGGGTATGTGGGAGGTGTGGGTATGTGGGGTGGTGGTATGGTGTGGGGTGGTGTGGGGATGGGAGGTGTGGGTATGGTGTGGGAGATGTGAGGATGGTGTGGCAGGTGTGGATATGGTGTTGAAGTGTGTTGTGTGAAAGACGGGACGTCAAGGTTGGATAGGGAGGGCGACAAAGAGAAGGCGTGTGGATGGCGGGGAGGCGTGGGGATTGAGGGAGGGGATGGCGGGAGGCATGGGGATGGCGTGGTGAGGCATGGGGATGGCGTGGAGGCGGAGGATATGGAGTGGGATATGCGGAGGCATGATGGCGTGGTGAGGCGTGGATGGTGAGTGGGGATGGCGGGAGGTGTGGGGATGGTGGGGAGGCATGGGGATGGCGTGGGGATGGTGTGGAGGGTGGGGATGGGGTGGAGGTGGGGGGGATGGTGGGAGGTGGGTATGGTTTGGGTGGTGTGGGGATAGTGTGGGAGGTGTGATGGTGGGGAGGGAAGGGTGGGGAGAGGAGATGGTGGGGAGGTGGGGATGGGAAGTGGGAAGGTGGGAGGTGTGGGTATGGTGGGGAGGTGGGGATGGTGGGAGGTGTGGGGTGTGGGCATGGTGTGGGTGGTGTGGGATGGTGTGGGAGGTGTGGGTGGTGTGGGAGATGTGGGGTATGGTGGGGAGATGTGAGATGGTGTGGGAGGTGTTGGGGTGGGAAGTGTGGGGATGGTGTGGGGAGGTGTGGGATGGTGGGGAGGTGGGTATGGTGGGGTGGTGTGGGTATGGTGTGGGTGGTGTGGGATGGTGGGGAGGGTATGGGGGAGATGTGAGATGGTGTGGTGTGGATATGGTGGGAAGTGTGGTAGGTGAAAGATGTGACGTCAAGGTTGGTTTGGATGGGGAGGGCGACAAAGAGAAGGCGTGTGGATGGTGGAGGCGTGGGGATGGCGTGGGAGGCGTGGGGATGGGAGGCATGGGGATGGCGGGTGAGGCATGGGGATGGCGTGGGAGGCGGAGGATAGTGGAGGCGTGGGGATGGCGTGGGAGGCGGGGATGTGAGATGGCGTGGGAGGCGTGGGGGATGGCGTGGGAGGCGGGGGATTACGTGGTGAGGCATGGGGATGGCGGGAGGCGTGGAGGATAGCGTGAAGGCGTGGGATGGCGTGGGAGGTGGGGATGGTGTGAGGCATGGGATGGCGGGAGGCGGGGATGGCGTGGGAGGCGTGGGGATGGCGTGGAGGCGGGATGCGTGGGAGGCGGGGATGGTGTGGTGAGGCATGGGGATGGCGTGGGAGGCGTGAGATGGCGGGGAGGCGTGGGGGATGGCGTGGAGGCGGGAGGCGTGGGGATGGCGTGGGAGGCGGGATGCGGGATGGTGGAAGGCGGGAAAACATATGAGACATCGGGGTTTGGCGTGGAGGCGTTGGGATGGCGTGGTGAGGCGTGGGGAACAAGGTAGGCATCGTGGGGTCTGTACAGTATAAATCCCAGTACACTGTGGAGGAGAAGTGACCTGCCTACCTGTTCATCTGTCACATATGTCCCAACTCTCTCCTCCCTCCGCCCCTTCTTCTACCATCTCTAGCCATTTTCCTCTTTTTCCTCTCTCTTCCTTTTTTCCTCTCTACTTCCTCCTCTTACCTCTCTAGCCCTTTGTCGTCCTTCCTCTCTCTCGTTTTCCCTCTTCTCCCTCTCTGTTCTCCTACCCCCCTGTCTCCTTCCTGTCCCTCCTTCCCCACCTCTCGACTTGTGGTAGGGTTCCTGTATTGGTAGTGAGGGGGGATCCAGACGACAAGTGGCGCCTCCACCTCCTCTCTATTTGGTCTGGGAGGAACTCTCTTGTTGGCGTGGCTTTCGGTCCAAGGAGAGAGAGATAGAGTTAGTGTGTTTGTGTGTGTGTGTGTGTGTGTGTGTGGTGTGTGTGTGTGTGTGTGTGTGTGTGTGTGTGTGTGTGTGTGTGTGTGTGTGTGTGTGTGTGTGTGTGTGTGTGTGTATCACCTTCCTTAGGATGGAGTATCTCATGTTGGATCCTTGCCCAGTCAACCATATCCACTTCAAGAGAAGATTTACCAGTGCACTTTCACCTGTATACCAGTATACCTGTTAACCGTATACCGTATACCTGTTCACCTGTATACCAGTATACCTGTTACCCTGTATACCAGTATACCTGCACTTGTATACCAGTATACTAGTTACCTGTATACCAGTATACCTGTTCACCTGTATACCAGTATACCTGTTCACCTGTATACCAGTATACCTGTTCACCTGTATACCAGTATACCGTTCACCTGTATACCAGATACCTGTTCACCTGTATACCAGTATACCTGTTCACCTGTATACCAGTATACCTGTTCACCTGTATACCAGTATACCTGTTCACCTGTATACCAGTATACCTGTTCACCTGTATACCAGTATACCTGTTCACCTGTATACCAGTATACCTGTTCACCTGTATACCTGTATACCTGTTCACCTGTATACCTGTATACCTGTATACCTGTATACCTGTTCACCTGTATACCTGTATACCAATATACCTGTGCACCTGTATACATTTATACTTATACACCTATATACCTGTACAAACGTGCATCTGTATACCTTTATACCTGTGTACCTGTATATCTCTAATGTCTGTGTATTTGTAGATCCCAATTCTAGGGATTACATCTATATATGTATTAACTATAAAGTGTAATTGATGTTGAGTCTCTCTCTCTCTCTCTCTCATAGTACGGATATACAGCTCCAATGTTTAGGAGTTGGCAGCCCTGCAAGAAGCATACACAGAGGGGCGTCAGCGGGCCCGTGAAGAAGACTACACAGAGGGGCGTCAGCGGGCCCGTGAAGAAGCATACACAGAGGGGCGTCAGCGGGCCCGTGAAGAAGCATACACAGAGGGGCGTCAGCGGGCCGTGAAGACATACACAGAGGGGCGTCAGGGCCGTGAAGAAGCATACACAGAGGGGCGTCAGGGGCCCGTGAAGAAGACACAGAGGGGGTGCGGGCCGTGAAGAAGCACAAGAGGGTCAGGGCCCGTGAAGAAGATACAGAGGGGCGTCACGGAGAGAAAGGGCGCGGGCCGTGAAAAGACACAGAGGGGCGTCAGGCGGCCCGTGAAGAAGCATATACACATGTCGGCCACAATGTAAACAAACCGGGTGATTGCATGATGGTGGGAAGGAGGAGGTGCCAAGGGATGACCGAGACGCTGCTTAAGGATACTGGTGACTAATTATAACACTTACCTGTAGATGGGGCGTGGCTGGGGGTTGCCATCTAAGAACAGAGTGAGTGGGGTGAGGGTGAGAGAGGGATATGTGTATGGGGTGTGGAGGAGGCCGTTTACTCCTGTTTACTCCCTGTTTTACTCCCTTGTTTTACTCCCTTTACTCCCCTGTTTACTCCTCGTTTACTCCTTGTTTTACTCCCTGTTTTACTCTGTTTCTCCGTTTTACTCCCTTTTACTCCTTGTTTACCCCGTTTTACTCCTTTTTACTCCTTGTTTTACTCCCGTTTACTCCCCGTCTTACTCCCCGTCTTACTCTGTTTTCCTCTTTTACCCTGTTTTACTCCATTTTACTCCCGTTTTACTCCTTGTTTTATCTCTGTTTTACTCCTTTTTACTCCCCTGTTTTACTCCTTTGTTTTACTCCCCGTTTACTCCCTTTTTACCTTGTTTTACTCCCCGTTTTACTCCCTTTTACCCCTGTTTACTCCTTGTTTTACTCCCTTTACTCCCTGTTTTACTCCTTGTTTCACCTCTTTACACCCTGTTTACTCCCTTTACTCTGTTTACTCCCTTGTTTTATTCCCTGTTTACCTCTTTTTACTCCCTTGTTTTACTCTTTACTCCCCTGTTTTCACTCCTTTTACTCCTTGTTTTACTCCTCTTGTTTACTCCTTGTTTCCCTTTTACTCCCTTTGTTTTACTCCCCTGTTTTACTCTTTGTTTTACTCCTTGTTTACTCCTGTTTTACTCCCTTTTACTCCCTTGTTTTACTCCCGTTTTACTTCCCTGTTTCACTCCCTGTTTTACTCCCGTTTACTCCCCTTTACTCCTGTTTACTCCCCTGTTTTACTCCTTGTTTTACTCCTTGTTTTACTCCCTTTTACTCCCTTTTGTTTTACTCCCTGTTTTACCCTTGTTTTACTCCCTTTACTCCCTTTTACTTCTTGTTTTACTCCCTTTACTCCCTTGTTTTACTCCTGTTTTACTCCCTGTTTCACTCCCCGTTTTACTCTTGTTTACTCCCTGTTTTACTCCTTTTACTCCCCGTTTACTCCCCTGTTTTACTCCCTCTGTTTTACTCCTCTGTTTTACTCCCCTTTACTCCTGTTTCACTCCCCGTTTTACTCCCGCTTTACTCCTTGTTGTTGTTCACTTTCTGTTATGGCGTCACGACAGGTTGGTTGAGATTAGCTCAGGTGTACCGCTTATCATAACAATCTGCCTCACCCCTGCCCTATCATGCCTTCTCCTGTCTTGTCCTCCCCTGCCCCTCTTGCCCTCTCTTGTCCTCCCTGCCCCTCTTGCCTCTCTGTCCTCCCCTGCCCCCTCTTGCCCTCTCTTGTCCTCCCTGCCCTCTCTTACCTTCTCCTCCTTCCTTGCTCCCTCTCTCCTCCCCTGCCATCTCCTGGCCTCCCTGCCATCTCCTGACCTCCCTGCCCCTCTCTGTCCCTCCCCTGCCCTCTTACCTTCTCCTCCCTTCTGTTCTCTCTTGGCCTCTCCTGCCCCCTCTTGGCCCTCCTTGCCCCCCCCTGTCCTCTCTTGCCCTGTCTCCCGCCATTACTACCACTCATCACCACCACCACCACACCATGATCATTACCATTACCACCACCACCCCTCTACCCCTGCCCCACCATCACCCTCTCCCCACCACCACCACCACCTCCATTACCACCACTACTGATACCACCACTACCACCATACAACCCCCACCCCTACAACCACCACCACCACTTCTCAACCACCACCACCACCACCATCTCCCAGTTTTCATCGTCGCTTCAGACTGCCAGATAAACCACTAAGTGAAGGGATGCAGGTCAGTGACTCACCGCCGCCCACCTCTCACCCTTGCTTACCTGAGTCTTGCCCTGTATTAATTTTTAGACAGCCTAAAGCATTTTTTTCGATTGGATTTAGATAATTAATGTATTTAATTAAGTAAATCCACAATAACAGAATAAATACACAAATCAACATTGAGAAATTACAGATGGCGATTAATTAGATGCAAAACGAATTAAATTGTTCCAAGATTGTTCCAGGAGTCATTAAGGTAAGTAATTACGCAGATTATAACTTGTTTACCCCAAAATCCTCAAGTGTGGTGACGGGGTACTTATAATAAGGTTTTGAACAATTAGCATAGTTCTCCAAACGAGAGTTATCACCACAACCATCCTTCTAATACATCAAGTGTCAAAGAAAACGTTGTTGTGTTTTGGTGGACGAGGGTGTCTGTTTAGCCCTCTTGAAGTATGGCCGCTCCACTATTTTGAGGGTCTTTCTTTCTTCTTCTTCTTCTTGCTATAAAGAGCAAAGCCAGACTATCAGTAACAGCCAAACACAACACTGAAACAGTTGATAAATTTTAGCCATTATGAAAATCAACACGTACAAGAGGTGACAAAATGAGATGAAACAGAATAATAATAATAGGTTTAATGTGTGTGTGGTGAGAGAGAGAGAGAGAGAGAGAGAGAGAGAGAGAGAGAGAGAGAGCGCCTCCCGGTTACCCAGCTATAGACAGGGGGAGGTGAACTGTATACACGCCGCCTCACCATCTTCCAAACATTTACCTTGACTTTGGGCGTGGCAGGTACGGGCGTGTGTTGACGAGGCGCCGTCCTGGTGGAGGGGGTAGATCAGGGCAGAGCAAGTGAAATAGGGAAGGAATGAAGGTAGGAAAGATACTGGAAATGCAGTGGAAGTGCCCCTTGGAGAAAAACCCGCACCAGCACAATCACAATTTACTAAAAATGAACTCTCCGTGACCCTTGGAAAGATAGCACCTGTGATTGGGGTGAATGAGACGCACTGTAAAATTTGACACTTCTATTCCCTCCAACACTACAGACACAAACAATGATGGTTCACCAACATATGCGCACCTCTTAGCCTGGCTTGAAACACTACACTGGGGAACAAAAGTTATACATGAGATCAAAATTATTAAAAAAATATTAAATGCATTAAAGGAAGACTAAATCAACATTATTACTTACAACAGAAAAGAAGAACCTCATCTGAAACAGTTCCCTCGTTATCTGACATCACTCAGTGGCACATAAACATTAGAAAACAATACATTCAAAGTATTAGAGACTGTTGCTTACACACATGAACAGGCCTTAAGGGCATTCAACAAAATAACATCAATCACTGAGGAAAGGGCATGAATCATTAAGAAATTAGTAACTCCACCATAAATAGGCCTTA